ATTTTACATTTATTTTATACACGAATATATATTTGTACAGATTTTATTTAAAATAGAATTTTACAGCAAAGCCGCATGTCTACAGGGCTACCTAATCTTCGCCATTTGGGTCTCTCGTATTTCTATTTTTTGTCGTTATTTTTTTCTATGCGAAATGAGACGAGTCCTTATGGAGATAGGGAGTTTCGAGCGGAGAGGCTGGACCTGCTGTGGGGGGTAATTAACGTGTGTTTTATGGCCATTTGCCACAGCATAGAAACTCACGCAGCACCACTGGCAGCCACTGTGGATGGGGCCCAAGGCGCAGCACCCCTGCAAACCCAACAATGAATGCAATGAAGGATTAAAATAAGAAAGATGTGCAAATAAAATATTTTACAAACGGACAACGAGGACAACTTTTGCAGCCGGTAGGCAACGGCACGTGATGTGGGATGGCTTTGTGACCATTCGAAGGACTGCATGGTGTAATGGGAGGGGGTGGGGGTAGGTGGGTTGGTGATGGTCCGAAATGCGAATGGAACATGTCGATGGGGCACGTTGGGGCAACTAGACCTGGTCGCAAACAAAGGCAACCGGACTTGGCCTCGGACACACTCTCTCTGTGTCTCTCTCTCTTTCTCTCTCTATCTCTGTCGCTCTCTTGCCCTGTGCACTGCATGGAGCATTGTCAAAATAAATCAATCGGTTTTATGTTGTTTCTGGAATTTTTGTTTGCTGTTTTGTTACTTTGTTGCCGACGTCGACGTCAGGAAGCGGCTGCCCAAGGGTTGCAAGTGGTGCAAGTGGTGCAAGTGCTGCAATTGGCTGCCAGCAGCGCCAGCTTGTGGTGGCATAAATCAGTTGCTCGTTGGACGCATTTATGAAAGGATAACAACACACACACACACACACATAGACACGGACACACACACACATAGCTCCAGCTCATAAAAATGCATAAGTTAAAAATGCTGTAAATAAAAATACAACAATTTTGTATAGAGCAAAACTCTAGAAACCTGCTCCGCCCACTGATCCGTTGCGCCCCTTTGATTTATCTCGAAGGGAATTAAGATGTCTCAAAAGTTGCAGCGGGCAGCATTAAAATGCCATTGCTGCCATCGGAGGCAGTCATAATCGTTCACGCATCCTTCAGCACCAACTTCAGCTGGTTCAGGGGTCAGAGGTCAGGCAGGCAGAGAAAGTTTGTGGTGCTTCTCTGCTGCGTTTTCTTTGGCTCGTTTTGCAGAACGTCCAAAGTGATTTCCTCTTAGTATTTTCAAAAACTTTCACCCAAAAGGTGTTTACTTACTCACCCACACACACGCACACACACATGTACTTTATAGACATGTCCTGCAATGGCACTCCACACTCTAATGAAGCAGATTCCGTAGCGCATTTGCGTCCTTAGCCGCAACTCTTTTAATCCCTAATAACTTTTAAGCAAGTGACTTTGCGCACACAAAATGTCCAAATTCATCATCCTCACGGAGCGTGTGCAGAGTGCGAAGCGCCTTTGCTTAGGTTGGCAAAACCTGGACAGAGGGATTTCAGCTTTCATGTTGAGCCCATAGACTTATACCGAAAGTTCACTTTACACACACAAGCACACATATATACACACCCACGCACACAGGCGAGCTCACATCATTAGCAAATTGAAAATTTTACTCTAAAATGTTTCTAATTTCGGTTTGAAATTTTGATGCCTTAAATAAGGCCAAGTGAAAATTTGCATTGGAAAAGAAATATTTTTAAAATCTAAGAAGATCGTTATGAACTTGGTAAATTGTTTATAATAGGTAATGGACTTTTATAAAGGAAAAATAAATAATTTTAATAATAGTAATCATAAAAGTCCAACATAATTAAAGATCACCATTAAGATCTTTGTATATATTATAACAATA